CACCCCCTCCCCCCCGGGGAGGAGATACAGTGGAGAGGCTCGTTTGAGCTGCCTCACCCACACCCACATCTCTCACACTCACTTTCATCTTCACTGTTTCGTCGTCCCACCCCTTGTTTTCTTCTGTAAGCAACCAAGTGCATGAGTAACCCTCCCAATCCCATTTCCCTCCTTTCACTCGTGCACGCGCACCGATGATAACTCGCGATACCTCTTGCTCTCCATACACCAGGCTTTCTTCATTCTCTCGTGTTACCTTTTTTCTAAAAGAAAAAAAAAAATGTCCCTCATCCCACTGCACGTTTTGAAGCTCTTTCGTTATTTCTCTCTTCAGTTCTTGTATACATCTGTGTTCTTCATCTTTTTCACTCTCTTGCTGGAGAAAAGTCTGGAGTTATGAATGGAAATGTTTTTTTTTTTCATTGAAAAATGAATAATTATCAACTGTTTGGATTTTATTTCTGTCAATTAATGAGAATTACAATTAACAAAAAAATTTGTATTCGTCAATTTAACTGAAGTGAGTCATATCAAAAGTAAATATGAAAACCCATTTTTATAGATAAATAAATTCCTAACAAAAAATCTTTCCTGCACATGTTGAGAATCAACTCATTAGAATCTCAAACGAATTCCCTCAGAGCACTCCGCCCCCCCCGTTTCCTGAGCCACCAACTGCCACCCCAAATACTCCTGTTTGCGGATTTCAATTAATTTCAGAAGCAAGTGATAACCGACTGGTGGATAAAATTTTGAGGGCAATTAATGCTTTACAGAATTCTCAGCAATGTACCTGGGATTTCCGCGAATCCCAGAGCATTTCACCGGGCTCTCTGGCAGGGTCACAAGCTGCAGTATGAGTCGAAACCCAGTTGTTGGGTAAGATAAGGGGATGAATAATACAACCCACCAAGCCTCTGAGTCCTCCAGAGTTACAGCCTGAATGACAAATCAGTCTTATGCTCCCTATGACGGGTTAACATGAAAATTCTAGTCGAGGGGAATGAAAAATCGATGGCTTCGAGAATCATTTACGAATGCATTTATCACAAGTGGAATTATTCATCGAGGAATGAAGACGCTTTCATAAAATCTCAAAAATTGTCCCGAAATAATTCCAGCGAATGTTTCATTAATTTCTTATGCCACCTAAATTCTCATTATTAAACTGAAATAATTAATTCAATTGAGGGACGAAGATATATCGATAAAATCGTGAAAAATGCCCCGAAATAATTCGAATGAAGTAATGTTTAATATTGTTTCAGTAATATTGTTTCAATTGTCTATTTTAAAGTGACAAAATTAATGGTTCAATCAATTTTCTCATGTAATGCACCATTTAATCAACGTCAACCGACGTTATGAAGGTCATTCAATTTTCCAGTAATACTTTTTGTCTCAATATATTGCAGAAAGTCGGATGTGACATGAGAGTAAACAGCGGCAAAACTAAGGACGCATGTGGTGTATGCGGTGGAAATGGTTCAAGCTGTCAGCCAAGATACTCCTGGAGTTTGGAATCAATATCAGCATGCTCCAAGTCCTGCGGAGGCGGTTAGTCTATTTACCCCTCCACTCCACCTCCTCCTGGCTTGTGTTTTTTTTATTTATTATTATTAAAACGGAGCATCCGAGTGGCTCTCAATCTGTTAAATGCAAAGTCCGGCCTGTCAATAACGCCAGTTTTCTCGACGAGTTTTATTTTTCTCCTCTTTCTTTTTCGCCGCTTCTTCTGACGATCCAATTAAATTAGCGGTGTATATAAAGCGTTTGGCCTTCCACCAGGACAAACTCAGTTTTCAATGATGAGGTCAAAGGTTGAGAGTAGAGCATTTTACATGAAAAGGTGGAAGAGGGCTTTCGTAAATAGATGATTTTTTTTTTGTTAAAGGTCAAGATTTGTAGGAATGCCATTCAAACAGTTGTGAATGTTTGAGATGTCTTTTACGGGGTTCATACGAATGTCAATTCAATTTGAATGAAGAAAATAAAAGCTCTAGTTTTCGGTGAAAATTTTTTAATTTCCAAAATCCATGAAATCTACTTTGCGATATGAAGATTTTCCTTAAGAATGTTAAGTACTTTATCCAAGTATTTTATTATCTGAAACTTGCAGGTTTGAATTTAAATCTCGATATTGAATGGTTAGAAAACAGTTAAAAAAACTGAAAAAAAATTGGAAAGTTTATTTTTGGACGAAGATAGATGAAATAATTGAAAAATCTGATAGATTCACAGCAAAAACGAATGTTTGAATTTCACATACCTTTCGCAAACATTTTTCAGACACTAAAAAACGTCTGAATAAAATGAAAAATTGTCTGAATTTCAAACATGAGTAAAGACGTTTGGGCACCCGTTCACCTGAAATTCCGAGACATTTTCATTTTATTCAGACATTTTTTGTCCAAAAAATATCTACAAAAGGTGTATGAAATTCAGACATTCATTTTTACTGGATTACCCTCTCAAATCGAGCTCAGCATTATTTTCCAAAAAATTCAGTCCAATTATTTCAACAGTGCAACCCCTTTCCCCAAAATATAAAAACAACCATTACAGGTTTTAAAATGGCGATGGCAATCTGCAAATCATCATCAGACGACAGTATCGTCGAGGCGATTAACTGTGATCCCGACCAGCGACCAACGAAAATGTCAATGTCATGCAACACCCACCCATGCACCACCAAGTAAGCAAGAAAAACTTAATTCATTAAATTCTCCCACCATCGAAAGCAACAGAAAATGAGAATAACATTTACCACCGCTTGTCAACCCAACGACTTTTATTATTTCACCTTCCTCTGTTGAACCCCTCCACTCCCCCTCCTCCCCCGCACAACAATTCAACACTACCTAGAACAGTTTCCCTAAATCACAAAAGCAGAAACTGCCAGCAGGCCGGTTTGTCCCAGAATGAAAAAAACCAGAAATAAAGTGAGCGAATACATTTTGCTGGAGTGAGGTGAATTTAGTAAAAGAAAATGAGAAAGACGTTGGTATGCAGTTCCTCCAGTGGAAACACCGCTTTTCATCTCTCCCCCTGTCCCCCTCCCACCACCCCCACCACCCACTTGAACGGCCATTAGGGTGGAGAAAGGCCTGCGGCCGTTCTTTCCTGCATTCTCCAATTTTTTTTTCCTCCCTCCACCTCCCCCTCTTTCGTTTATGAAACTTGTGGGAAGTAAAAATATAGAGACAAACGGCACGCGATATCAGGCTCGACTTTTCGTGTTTTTCTCGATGAAAGCAGTCTTTTGATCATCGTTCCTTGGCACTTGATAGAAAAAGCGCTTTCACCCTTCCTCTGTCTCCCCTCCGCCTCGCCCCCTCCTCCACCCCTTATATTTGTGTATTTTTTCTCTGACGTTTTGTGTTGTGCCTGCGGTTAAATCGATCTCACCATCCGCGAGATAGTTTGAAATGAATTGAGGCCAGTGACAGCTAGGATTGGAAGGGGAGGGGTGGTGAGGGGGGTGGAGAAGGGGTGGATATACGTATTGTTATCAAATTGCGTCGCCAATACGGTATTTCCATGCGTTGGCAAGGCCTCTCCGAGTTTGCAGTGCAAACTGTTATGTGGAACAGTATACCAGGGCTATTGCATACGCACCACAACTCGTTAATAAATCAGTGAGTGGATTGTTGGGCGGGGGGTGAGGGGGTGAACGTTAAATTGTGCTAATTACTTGACCCTTGGATTTTGGATCAATTTGGGTGCTCTGTGGTCGGATAAAATACAGAATAAACAGGGCTGTGAGAGGAGAATTTCAACGAGTTGAATTTGTTTGAATGAGCAGAATGTTTCGTTTGAAATGGGAAAGATGACTCGATTAATTATGGGTTTTAGCGCTTCGATGAGTGATTGAGAAATCTGATGTGAGAGAGAACATTTGGATAATGCTGAATGCAAACTTGGCCATCGGTTAAGGGTAGAGCATTTTACGGGAATAGGTGAAAGAGAGCTTCGTAAATGGATGATTTTTTTGTTAAAGGTTCGGGGTCAAGGTTTGTGGGAAGGCTATTCGAACATGAGTTAATGGGCGGGGGATCTTCGTAGGAAATTTATACGAATGTCAATGCAATTTGGATAAAAATAAGAACTCTAGTTTTCAGGACAAATTTGGAAATTTTGAAATCCGTGAAATCTTTAGTTCTCATAAATATTTTCCTTAAATCTTGTATAGATGTCATTTACAATTTCATATTGATTTAGATTTTTATTTATTTGAGGGAAATTTTAATTTTTAATGACATCCCAACGTAATTCAACAACTCGTTGATTTTCATTCTAAGAAAACACTGCATTTGAAATAAGTAGTTTTTTAATTTTTTTTCAAATTGAATTTGAATTGAATAAATTTTACTTTAATCCACTGAAGAGCTTTTGAAACTATTCATTACTTAGAAATGACTCTTTAAGCTATTTCAGAATGACAATGTCTCCCCTGAAATATATCTGGATAAAAAATATTGCATTCCGAGTAATTTTACTCAAAAATTAATTTCTTCTCTTCGAGTATTGACCACCGACAACTGTAAACAAGTGTCGTTGAATTATTCATACGACTTTAACGTGCCAAAAAATGTAGCTAATTGTTTCTCGCTCTCCACCAAACAACCATTTACAACAATCAAATCTGCTTTTACCCCATAAACTTTAAAACATCGTAATCATCAACTAGACTTTTTCCATTGATGTCTAAATTAGTGGGATTATCGTGTCATTCAGATGGATCACCGGCGATTGGACGAGATGTAGTGCAACATGCGGAGGTGGATCACGAACTCGTCCCGTTTTCTGCACCGAGGAGAATGGAAATGAAACAACTAAGGTAAAAAATAAACAATTTATGTACCTGCTGTGAAAACACTTCAACTGAATCTGTTATGGGAATTTTATCAGCTGCCAGATCATCGGTGCAACACCAGTCATAAACCGCGTAATCAAGAGATGTGCAATACCATTTCGTGTCCTATGTGGGAGACCAATCAGTGGAGTGAGGTGAGTTGTTTTTTCTATAAATAAATAAAAAACGCCTCCAAAAGCGAATGAAATTCCGGGCATTTTCCCTCTGTTTGCCAGTGTTTTATTTTTTGCTGTCCACCGTTGAAAAAAAATTGAATTGCAAATTTTTCCACAACATTATTTTTACCAGGCGAAATGCGTGAGCGCAGTCGAAAGAATAAAGAGAACAGAGAAAATCATAAATACATAAGACATCTTGAAATGATTTTTATTTACCCAACGGCGCTCGAAACCTCATACACTCGATTTAACGTCAAAGACGATGGGTACAGAGAATATTTCGAGGAGTGAAATGTGAAAAACAGTCCAAGTGAAGATAAACATTTCCGAGGGGAAAATAGACGGAGAGGAAAATTCAAGCAACCACTGACGTCAAGGGCGATAATTATTTCTGCAAATAGCCACACAGTTTATTGAGAGGAAATGAGGAGAAAGACGACAGAAGAATTAAATCAGAGGATGAAGAAAATAGTTACTTGATTGCATAAACAAACAATCTGGAGGCATTTTATCGATAATTGGGAATCCATGCATTTAATGCACTTCCCCGATTTTTTTTTATAATTCAAGAGACTAATGTTTTGAATGATAAGTTCTTTTTGAGGAGAATTGAACTAGAAAAACTAGTGTCGAGATTATGACAGCTTTGCTCTCTATTTTAAGACATTTGTATCCCCAAATTTACAAAAACACTAGCATTCACCAAATATTTACTAAATTCTCTGCACTTTTTCACTGATAAAAGACATTTTTCACATTTCCCAGTAAATATCATATCACCATAAATGCATAAGCTCAATAACCCCGGGGATGTGTGCACGGAAAACTCTCGAATGCGACACTTGAAAAGAGAAAAAATAAAATATCCAGAAAAATCGTTTTGCACCCTCCGGCCAGGCCAAAGCGCTGGCATGTCTTATTCATGAGGTTTGTTCCTTAATACACGACAGCATTGCCATTTTATGTATCCAATCTTTTGGACAACAAAGTTGGCCCATTAAACATCAGCTGTCAACATTTCGAGAGGAGCGAAAACAAATTGGAGAGACTTTGGCGAAAAACAAAAAAGATGGCAATTTTTTTTTTCAGGGAGAACGAGTAATGTATGCTAAATAAAAACATGATAAAAGGGGTTTGATTTACGGGTCTGCATCAGTCTTGAGTGGGCTCTTACTTGAGTGCCTCGAAGAAAAGTAGAGGTCACGTTCCACTCAATAATGATTTTAAGAATGGAGGATGGCGGATGAATAAAAACGGAAGATAGAAATTGATAGATTTACGTCTATTGTGTATGGGGGCAAGCAAATATAGGGGGGGGGGGGGAAAAA